ACGCCGTATAAGGCTAACAGTTAGTGCGGCGCTTACTCTTTTTTCGAAGGTTAGCCTATAGAGGTAGCGTTAGCTACTAAGAGGTGCTTTCGGTACTTAGTAGTAGTACGGTCGACTCGGGCCTAGTCTCGAGGTCTATTATATTAGCTTAGTAAATAAGTGGTACTATTATAGTTAAAGCACTTATATCTAGTTAGGGCACCGCTAGGTCCGCTCGAATTAGTACTAGAGTTAGATAAACGATTAGGGGTATATAGAAATAAGCCCCTTCCTTGTCCTCTTCCTCGCTAGGGGTTTCTACCGCGGTACCGGCCCCTGCCCCTTCTACGTTAGTCGTTACTATTTCTATTGTTAGTAGTGTTAGTTTAGGGAGTATCTCCTTAGTTTCTACCGCAGCTACTACGGTTACCGCGGTTAGTACTAGCTAGTCGGATCCTCGATTCTAGTCGCTATTAGAGTTAAACAGCCCGTTCGGCTGTTTCTACTTCGACTATGAATTAAATGCGCGTTAGATTAGCCTGTTCGAATATACGGCGGCGGTCTAATTTAAGGACTAATTCCTATCGCAATTTAGGGCGTATTTTAGAAATCTAGATAGAGTCGGTCTTAGCTAGCAAATCGTCCTTAAGGGTCTTTAAATAGGCCTTAAATAAGCGAGCCGATTAGTTAGTCTTTTGTTTAGCTCGAAGGTACTAATCCTAAGCATATTATTGCCTTAGTATAGGGTTTCTAAGGGTATCTAGTATAATAGTTTTGTAGGTTTGCTACTAAATAGCAGTCTAGTTATCTAGGGAGTTAAAATGGTTATCCTAGGTGCGCTTTAGGTCTCTATTAATATACTGCATAGCATAGACGACTAACGAATAGTCGTCTAGAAGGGCCCTCGGTGCGTTTCGCTAGTTAAGCTTATAATCGCGTATATAATTATTGTATTGCTTGCGACTAGAGCCGTTAAATACGGTACAGTCCTTAAGCTTAGTATCCTTCTTTTAGACAGGGACGGGTAGTAAGGAAGGCCCTACTACTAGTTCCGGTTTAGCAGTAGTTGTTAGGGCTTCCTATAGGCGGCGAATCTCGAGGAGATTATCCTTTAGCTGTTGTTCTTAACGTAGGGCAGTAAGCCTATTTTAAGTAGCTTCCTAAAGTCTCCCTACTAGTTAAGGGCTAAAGGCTAGCTAGCTATATCGTCGATTAACAATGTTGTTAAGTATGTCGTTAATAGGCAATTCTAGATTATTACCTAGAACTATAGGTTCTTCGGCAGGTCTAGTAGTAGGCTCTTTAGTAGGAGGCACTTTAGTAGGTGCTTCGGTAGGCACTTTAGTAGGTACTGTACTACTAGCGTTGTCGTTGCTAGCGCTGCTAGCGGCAGTACGGTTGTTATTTCGTAATAAACCGGCTATTATAAGGGGCGATACTAATAATGTATTGTTAGCCCCTAAGATACGGATATAGCGGAATTAGTAGATATCGGCCTAGTATACTTAACTTAGTATAATAGGCCGTATAGAAGGCCTTGCTTAATAATTGGCACGGTTGTTTTAATAGAATAGTACGTATAGGTCCCGTTATTCGGGCGTAATATAGTTAAATCGATAGTTTTCGTAGCTATACCGCTAAAAGCTTGAAATAAGGACTATCTAGCTACTACCCTTAAAGGGTAATCGAATACTATATAAGAAGGGTTATATTAGCAGGTAGATAGGGTGGTAGTAGGTATAAGTAGTATTCGATAGAGAACTAGGAGGAGAAGGAGGAAGGCAGGCTAGTTAGCCTAACGCTAAGCGCTAAGCCCTACCTAAGGCACTAAGACCCTAGCTTCACTCGAGCCGGTTATATACTAATTACGTATAGCCTCTAATATACGGACACGTAGAAGTTAGCCTTTAACGGCGACTAGCACTAAGTAGGTAATAAGATTAAAAGCGATAAGGTATATTAAATAGCGCTAGATAAGGCGGAAGCACTCGTACTTACTAAGCGGAAGAATGTCTTCGTAGATATAGACTTCTATATTAAACCTAAGGCAGTAGCGGCTATACTAGTTAGCAAGAAGCCGGCTTCTAATCTAACCTCTGTTTAGCTTGCTAACGCTAGCGTTATAATAGCTAAACTCGAGACTTAGAAGCGCTACGACTATTAGATTATCCGTAACTTCCTATATACGATAAAGGACTATAAGAACTTCTAGAAGGCTAGTAAGCATGCGTACTAGCGTAACCGGAAGCTAAAGGACTGTAGTAAGAACTACTTTCTATTCTTCGAGGCGGCTATAATTAAGGGTTGTAAAGCGATCGCTTCTAGTAAATAGAAGGTTAATAAGCAAACCGGCGCTCTCGAGGATAGGTTACCGGTAAGGTTAGAAATTAAGCTAATAAAGAGGAAGGTCGAGAATAATTTGCAGAAGAGTACTATCTAGAAGATAAGAGGTTACCGCCGTAGTAGTAACGAGGACGACTCGCCTCGTAAACTAGCCGTTAGAAGTAGTAGAATTTAGCCGATTATCTATAACAACTTTAGTAAGGACTTTAGTCGCATTCTAGATAGCAAACTACGCGGCAGTAGCCTTATTGCTAGTATACTAAGTTAGACACCTATTCGAGCTCTAGTTAAGACTAGTTTGCGTAATACTAGACTACTACGCAATATCGTTTAGTACGAGAAGCTAACGGTAGAATTCTTCGACTAGGTTGCCCTTTACCGCGATTTCTAGGATTATAACTATTTATAGCCTTATATCGCCTATTTCGTCGGTATAGGATAGACACTAGAGACTATCTGTAACCTAACAAAGGACGACTAGCCGGCGGTACTTAACTAGGTAGATAGTATACGGTTAAGACTAAAGAAAGCTATTATCGAGTTTATAAGGAAGAAATAGGATAAAGTTATAGCGGCGGAAGTAGCCGCTACTAAAGAAGGAGAGAACTTTTAAGAATCTTAGCTTCCTTCCTATACCTTTCTTTATATAACTATAATATATATAAACTTGTAATAAGCGGGAGATTTCTATAGTAATAGCACTTATTTAGCCTATATATAATTAATTAATATAATGCGTTAGTTGTAGTACAATATAAGTAATAGGCAAGGCTAGCGTTCGTATATATTCTTTGTGCCTCTACGCTTCGGCGCTTGCCGCGCGCTAGTCTACCTAATTATATTACTCGAAATCGTTAAAATCTACCTTTTCTTCTACTTCTTCCTCGTTATCTTCCTTATATAATAAATACAGCGCTTCTACGTCGTTAAGCACCGACGGCTCGTTATTCTAAACCTACTTTATCTATTAGGATTCTTCTAGGTCGAGCGCTATTATATTTTAAGCGTTACTAGCCGTCGACTCGAATTAGGAAGCATCGTACGGCAAATCTACCCCTTCGACGTTATAACTAGCAAAAGCGAAGAGCGTATACGTACGGCGGCCTCTATATCGGTAGAGACAATATAGTAAGTAGTCCTAGAAGCTAAAGAACTTCGGCTGCTAGTTTCTATACCTTTTAATCGTCTTCTTTAGTAGGTTAAAGCTACCTTCGATAGGATTCAAATCCGGCGAATACGGCGGTAAGTACTCGAGTCGGTGTCTAGCGTTAAGTATTGCCTATTTAATCCTTAATCTATAATAGATACTAGTATTATCTATAACAAATATTATCGGCGGACTATCTTCGAGGCACGGCAACACCTACTTAGTAATCTAGGTATAGAAGCGGTTACTATTAATCGATCCTTAGTATATATAGGTATACAGTAAGTATCTATAAATCGTAAAAGCCGGCAGTACTAACTAACGCACCTCCCTCTTAGTATACTACACATCGATATAGATTATACCTCTTAGAGACTATCTATACTTCCGCTAACCTGTCTTCTAATTGCTAGTAGTCTTATCGATAAATACTAATCGATCTACGGGCTATTTTGCGTACCTAATCGTCTATAGAGCCCTTAGTAGTAGGTTACGCTCCTTCGCTTGCCGCTTAACGTCCTTCCGCGTATATTTGTTCCTTTTTAATATCCTACCGATTAGAGTAGGTCGAAGCTTAATCTTACTACTTCCGCTATTATTTATAGGGCGTAGCCTTATAAACTCGTCTTAAAGAGCTTAGATTATCTCTATAAAGTAGGCGTCCGGCCGGTCGTCGAGAAACGATAGTAGGAAGTCTACCTTAATAGTAAGGAGGGCTTCCTTCTATCTATAGTATTGCGTACCTATATTATTAGTATATAGGGTACTAAATAGCCGCTATTTCTATTAATATCGATATATAGAGCGGATAGACAATAGTAGCTTAGTAAAGCTATGTATTTGCTTAGTAGTAAAGCCTTTATTAAAGAGGTTAATTAGTTAGCCTTACTAGTCGTCGTTAATGCGAGCTTTCTTAACTATAACTGCTAACAATACCTTAGAAGGGTCTATACTACTAGATTATCGACGATACGATCTACTAGAGAATTCTAGGCTTTATAAAGAGGACTAGAGAGTAGATTTTAGTAGAAAATAGCTGTGTGTTTGCTCGCTAAGCCTCTCTCGGAGGTATAGGGCTCTCCCCGTACTAACTAACAAGAATAAGCCGGCATATAGTACATACTATATATATACTACTGTAGTTGTTTGCTAGGGACCGGTGTTCGAGAGTAGTGGCATAATAATATCCGAAAGCGCGTACACTACTGTATATAGAGTAGTGCCTACTTGACTACTCCTTTCCTGCCTCGTGACGCCGTGACGGCAGTGCGAACGCAAAGAGCAATAATGCCGACGGCCGAGTAGAACGAGCTAGCTTTTGGTTGGAGGCAGGGGTGTCCACTGCCGCGGCCGCGCCCGCATCATATTCGGCCGCCTGGTCGCAAGCGATGCCATCCAACGCACGACCACACAAGTCATCGGTCGTGGTGCGGCAGAGCGATCCGTCCTGCTGGGACGCACAGAAATTGCCCAACATGGCGACCACCGATGTCTCCTTCGCACAAGCATATCTGCCACGAGCGGGAAAGGCTAGAGGGCAATGAGAGACACAGCCCGTGTCAAGCATGGCCGACGACAACATTGAAGCCGACCGCTGGAGCGATCAGGACTCCGCCTTTGGAGGAACCGCGTCGTTAGCAGACAGCACCACCTCCATCACTAGTAGCCTCCGCGAATCCGTCTTCAACTATCAATTCGAGCATGGCCGGCGCTATCATGCATTCCAGGCTGGGAAATATATCTTTCCCAATGATGAGCAGGAGATGGAGCGCATGGACATCGAGCACCACAATCAGAAGCTGCAGATGGATGGAGAGCTGTTTTTATGCCCTCTTGTGGATGAGCCGACTGAGATTCTGGACTTGGGCACCGGCACCGGAATTTGGTGCATCGATATGGCCGATAAGTATCCTGATTGCCAGCTTATTGGAACAGATTTGAGGTGAGCAGAGCATGCTTCTATCGACTCCCTCCAGAAGCTGATGCCTGTCATGCAGCCCTGTGCAGCCTAGCTGGACACCACCGAATTGCCGCTTCGAAATCGATGATTTCGATAAAGAATGGACTTTTGGCTCGGATCGCTTCGATATGATCCGCCACGCCTTTATCGTGGGGCACGTCAAAGATTATCCTGAGTTTTACAAGCGTGCCTTCAATGCCCTGAAGCCGGGAGGGAGCATGCAAATTGTTGAAATCGAATTCCAGCTATACTGCGATGATGGCACACTGGCTCCGGACTCTGCGCTTCTCAAATGGTGCTCCCTGATGTATGAGGCATTTGCAAAGATTGGAGCTGTCGTGCCGACGGCGGAAAACTATAAAGAATGGCTGGAGGATGCCGGGTACGAAGACGTTCATCTTGAGATCATCAAGCGCCCTTCCAATGACTGGCCGAAGGATCCGAAATGGAAAGAGATCGGTAGAGTGAGTTCGCTTCTCGGGACACTGTGCAGCATGTACTGATCAGGTCCTCTAGTACTGCTGCTTGAATTTCTTGGAGGGAATGGAGGGCTTCACAGTTGGGCCACTCACACGCGTCCTAGGCTGGAAGCCTGAGGAAGTGCAAGTCTTGTTGGCGAAGATGCGCTCAGAGTGGCTGAAGCGAAAGATTCACGCGTATCACAAAGGGTATGACATTCCTATGGTTATCAGCCGTGCGCCTGGCCTCTGACTTCTGCTCTAGCATCGTTTGCTATGGTACCAAGCCTATGCACCCGACCACAGGTACCAATGGACCTCATTGATGACTTGGCACGCATCCGTAACATCCGAGCACGGCAGTCAAGAATCGGACGCTCAAGTTAAATGGCGTCAAACAGCATTACCAACCTCAGCAGACATTTTACGCCCAGACATAAGACTCGAGCACAGCCTGCAGCCATATCGACAGATAGCAATCCGAGAGAATAGTTGATAGTAAGCCGCGCAAGCACATAAAGAGCAAGACACAGGAATATAAGAGCATGCGTTATAGTGGACAGCGTTCAAAGCGTGGAGTAGTAGCATACGGGCTCGCATCCTTGGCAGATACAGATGGTACAGACGATGGTGTCCGTATGGAACCGATTCCCAAGGTGTATCCCTGTGTTTCCTGCATCAGACGTGCGTAACTCGCTGCCATCTAGTCCTCTGCCAGTCACGCAGCCAGTGTCGAACAATACGAGAGACTACTAGGTAACACCGTAACTGGGTTATTTCAAGAACCGAGTAATACACCCTCTGTCAAGAACCGGCTTGTAGCGTCCGCCGTCCGCCGCCCGAATACAGGCATAATCTGCTTCTCCCATTGGATGAAACAGCATTCGCAGGGCTCGGAGGCTCTTCCACAGGGTATGATAATACCGCCGAAACTTTGAAAGAGGGTGTACACCGTGTACTAACCTGGGTACCCCCGGAGACAGTTCCTGGTTGCTTACGTGCAATGCTTGGGGATGAGATCATTACTATTGTTGGCTCAATTAACGTCTAGGACTCTAGACTGCACTCGTTCACCACGTCTTTCCACACACCACATTCGCTTTCTCCCCATGCTATCCATCATTGCTATGGTTTAGCCCATCCCTCAAACAACTGTGCGACGCGCGCCCGCGCACTCGGAGCTGCGACCGCCGAGCGTGATGAAGGTCCTTCAACTCCCCCCGAGCCTGCTGTTGGCTATCTTCTCGTACTCGCCTAGCATCGAAGCGACACCGACCATTCCACCACAAAGCGCCTACTTCCCAAACAAGACCAGTGCATTGCCTTCAAGTGGATCTGGCTCCTCATACGCCACTGCTTGCCGGGACGCAATAACTTCTTACTTCGCGGGATCCTCAGCATGGGCGAAGTCAGTTCAGTATGTCTCCAATACAACGCAATTGGAAGGCGGTACCTCCATTTCCACATATACGCTTTATGAAAATGCCACGACGCTATGTGACATGCACCCGCGTGTTACCTATTCACCCGCCATACCAATTGGGACCGTGACGTCGACGTATCCTGGTCCGATCACTGGCACGACCACCATCGTGTATACGCTTGGGACCGGTCAATATCCATCACCTTCACCAACATGCCGGATCAGCCCAAAGGACTGTGATCCGTTGTGGGCTGATTACAGCAAGTCTCTGTTGGCAGCGTCGACCATGACTGCACCTCCGATGACTGCACCTACAATGACTGCACCTACGATGACTGCGCCTCCAGCTTTGGTGACCCCTCCCTGTTTGAACCAAAGCGCAGCAGCCGCCTACTCTTCGGCGACGGAAATGATATACGGCTGTGGTCAATGTACCATCTATGGTAATGGCGTAGAGCTTGTTTACTTCCCAACATCCGCGGAACGTGACCTGTGCGCATCGACACCGACCGCCAGTCTGACCCATTATGGACCGGGAGCTGTAATTACCGCGTACGCTGGCAAAAACTATCAAGGTCCACATGCTGCCAATGGCTCGAAAACAGTTGTGGTCGATGGCCATACATTCACTTCAGGCACTGCATACATCTCCATCTCGGAAGTCTATGCAGTAAATCGCTGCTCGAGCACGCGTGGCACGATTGTGACTGACGCAATTCTAGCGATGCCGTCTGAGTCTGTTCTGAGCCTGAGATATTCTCAGGATCGTCTCCAGGGTCTGATGGAGACAGACACGGTCACAGGGTACTGTTGAAGCTGTATGTGAACTAGGAACTGAGTCTGACGATGTTTTTACCAGGTATCCCGTTTCGTATGCAGATTTCAATACGCCTATCCCTTGGAGCGCTTGGAATGGCCAGAATATCTGCAGAGACCCATTTGACAACACGTATTGCGGTGTCATCTATGAGAACAATTTCCGACCTCAGCTAGCGATCCCTCCCGAAATAAAGCAGCTCTCTCCCGAATTTAAAGATTGCCAAGTGTGGTACAACGGGCTCTGGGATCCGCCGCTGCGACTGACAGAGGTCGCTTCCGCGGCAATGCCTACTTTACCTACCCATCCCATGGAGCAACCGGTGGAAACCTCAATGCCAGCGTCTCCTTCTTCAGCTGCCGCGGCGCCTACTTCAACGCCGACCGCTATACCAATTGGGCTCTCTGGAAGCTCAGGCGCGGGATATAAGCCTTGGCAGCCAGCACCTACTGATACTGGCAATGACCCGTCCTCTGCTGCTGGGCCCAATCAACATAGCGAGAATCCGTTTGTTCCTTCGAAAGAGCCATGGGACAAAGACTTCACGATCGGCGGCCGTACATTCCAAGCTCATGGTCGTGACAGGAAAGCTATTGTGGGTTCCGTCACTCTCGTCTCAGGTGGTCCGGCGCAGACCATCGCTGATGGCATTGTTGCAACGTATGGTGATCAAGGGCTCATTTTCGAGACGATAGCTACTGCCACCTTCGATGATCATCAAGCCCAAGCAGCACCGTATCAAGGGCACGTCATGAGCGCTGCAAATAATGGTCCCATCCTACAGCCAGGAATGACGGCATCTGGAGAATCTGGTGATGCAGATATCTTAACTCTCACCATCGGCGGTCAGGTCGAGACAGCAGTTCAGAGTCAGGACGGAGGAGCCATAGTTATTGACTCAACCCTCACCTTGATGCCTGGAGGCCCGATGACCACCCTCAACGGTCAGATAATCAGTGCGGCGACTAACGGCATAATTTACGGCTCGTCGATAACCCTTGGTCTCGATGCACAGGCTACTACCGGTCCTGAATCGTCGGAAAGTGGTTCAAACAGGGCGCCATCTAGCACTTCAGGCGACAATTCACCTGCAAAATCAACCACCGGTGTCAATGGAGGAGTAAAATCATCCGGTGGAGTAGCGATGCGGGCCTTTGAAGGCGCAAATGTTGCTGCTGTCGTAGCGATCTTTGCTGCCGTCCTTGCGGTATGAACAGCATGAAGGTATACTTGGCGTTAAGGGCATGACACGTGGGATGCAGCTTGAGGAGCTGAGCACCACATTGCTCCCAGCCATACGTCTAATTGGAGTTCGACAAAGGCCTCTTGGATTCAACACGATGCATCGCCGGCGGAATTCTTGCCGCTCCCTGGATCACATATGTCTTTTAATACGGCCAGCGCAAACTACAACATTCCGGCGGTTGGCCTGGGAATCTTGTACATTAATTGTTCCATCCTACGATAAAAAAGGCATACACGTGGATGGAGTACATACATACATAGATCAGTGTGAAGGAGACACACACTGTTACGCTTAGATGACTTCACGATAAAATATCGCACGCGTAGTGCGAATAATGTTCACAAACCTTTCCCGCTCAATTCGCATTCACTCTATCCATTTCACACCCTATTCTCTCGATGGCGATGTTCCGCATCCTATTCTATCTTCCGCCTCATTGTACTCGGCACGATGCCCTCGGGAACAAAGCTACTTCGATTAAGCACTGTTGATGGGATTGCATACACTGCCTTGTTCCACTCAGTCTGAACAGTGCAACAAATCCCGAATAAGCTCGCGTCCGCCGTTCGACATTCATCTCTAAAGACCGTCCAGTCAATCCCAGGATATAGAGCACTAGTCAACGTAACATGCTCCAGGAAGGGAGGAGTCTTACCGCAACCACGGTATCACACACTATTATTATCGAAAAAATAAGTGTGGCGGCAAGTCGTCCGGTCCTACCTACTCAACGTGACTATGGATTTTCGCAAAACGTGATTCACGCGGAAGGAAGTTATAGCAAGCGCCTGAGAAGTAGGCAGCCTCCTAAAAGCATTATAGAAATCTTCTTGAAGGCCTGCATAGCCCGCCGAAAGCGGAGATGAGATCGATGAGCCTGTTTGAATTGACTTCAGTGGTAGCAAAAGTGCCTCAAGTTGGTGTATACTCAAGTTGTACACATCTTCGGAACACTCTGCCGCGGAAGGATCGCCTAGGCCCACATGCCACTCGCAAACTATGTCACCTGTCAGGTAGGCGACGAACCTAAGGGTGGACGTATTAATGCTTCACACGTCTGACTTCATCTTGTAATTCAAATGCTACCCAGCAACTCGACTGTCAAGCACAATGCTCTCTCTCACAGATGCACTACAGGTCAGCGCTGCTACCCGCACATCGAGAATGCTTTTTCTACTAACCTACTTCTTAGTCCATATTCGTATTCCTCAGCGTCCTCTCAGACTATCTCCTGACGTTCGACATCTGGATTCTGTCTGCCTCGCTACCTTTGACGTCCAACAAAACATGGCTATCGACCAGCACATCATGTTTGGCATACGCAATCCTTGAGCCTCTCAGTCACCGATTCATGACCTCAGTATCAGATTTTCCGGTCTGGTGGTTCCTCATGGCATCCTACATTCACATGATAATCGGGCTTTCAGGAACCTCGCAAGTCATCATTGAGGAGTTCAAGGACCGGGACGAAAGTCTCAAGGCTCGTGGCGAGAAGCAGGGCGATGTGGAGCATCTCGGTGAGAAGCAAATGTCGACTCCCGAATTGGAGTCTGCACCTTCGACTCCTCTCACCGCTGACGAGAAGAAAACGCATAAAGAGAGCCGGGCATTCCGCTGCATTCCCCTTCTCACCATCACAACTGCAGCCGCTATGAATGCTGGCTTGCTCTTCTACACCCGCTACCTCTCTTCTGAGAACTCCGAAACCTGGAAAGCCAAATTCAAGTTCGGATGGATCGTGATCGCGGGTCTCTGCCTCTTCTTCTTCGGCATGTCGAAGAACGTGGCAAGGACGTTGAATAGTCTGATTTGCCCTGCAAGGAGTAAGGAACGGCGAGAGAATAGGTCCGGATGGATTTCATATCTTCGTCAAGTCTCGAATTTGGCCTTGATTTTCGTGGTCAAGGCGGGCATGAGATGGGCGCTGGGACAGGATATCATCACATTCCCCGAGCGCAGTGGCGAAGGTTGGAAGTTGAGAACTTCTCTGGACATGGAAGATGTGGTTGAACAGGCTCGTGAGGGCAAGCGTCAAATGCATCTCTTCGACCGCTTGTTATTCAGCATGCCGCCTTGGCTCAGCCCGATCTTCTCGGTGATTAGCATATGTGCGAGCGCGTATCTGATATGGAGGGCTCGGCGTGACAAGCAAGAGGCGCGAGAGAGCTGGGGAGATTAGGCATGGAGATGGCGTCGCGCGGGATCCTTGCCCTTGGCAACGGACTTGGCACTCTCATTGCCCTGCGTCAACCTTTGCCATTCTCTCTCTGTTCGATGCCCCGAGCCGTGACTGAGAGCCAAGGCTGGAATGTGTAGTGTGCGGCAGACGCAATGACTCTGGTGATAGGGCGTCCGTACTGCACCGACTCGCCCGCCACGAAGAAGCCTCAAGAAGACGTCAACAGTGCGAGAGTGAGTAGTATGTAGGCTGAGCGACTCCCATTGACGATGTAGCATTCTCTCCAGCACCTTCATCGCGACAATCATTCCGACATGGTAGTCAGACTCCTGCCGATGCCAGCTTCTGAATGGCATCTCTACATGAAAGTTTGTGCTGCGGCTTTTCAACCAGGATTCATGTCAGTCATGTTTCCCAACGGCCTCTCCGACAAAGCTATCGAGCAATCTGTTGCATCCATGAGACGAGCGAATGAGCGCCATCCGGGACGAGTCCATGTTTTCAAGGCTATTGACGATTCTCTGCCTGCGAATGATCCTTTCGAGCGAATCGTCGGTGTCAGTCACTGGAAACTGTATCCAAAGCACAGAAGCGAACAAGATATGAAGAGGGAAGAAGACGAAGAAGAGCAGGATGCAAAGCAGTACGGAAAGCCCGAGGGAATGAGCGAAGAGGTCGCGGAGAGTTTTCATAAAGTCTGTTGGGAGTATAAGCAGAAGCACCTTGGCCACGAGCCCTATCTCTTCCTTCAAGTCCTCGCAACCAGACCAGATCAAGGCAGGAAGGGTGTGGGCGCACTAGCGATGAAATGGGGATGCGACAAAGCAGACGAGCTTGGCCTGCCGGCTTATCTGGAGGGAAGTCCTATGGGCGTCGGGCTGTACAAGAAATGGCAGTTCGATGTTGTCGATGAGCTGCCGTGGGATGCAAGAAACTTTGGCTATTCAGACTCGCTCGCGCATCTATGCATGAAGAGAGCACCTAGAGCGCCACAGATCTAGAAGTATATAATCATCGCAAGAAATGTCTGATGTCTCGGCCGCCTTACGAACAGCAGCGCGTGGATTCTGGTGTGGAATGCTGAGAACAATGTCTAGCCTGCGTTCCGCACGCCCAAATTTCGACCACCTCTTCGATATGCAACTCTGCTCAACGACTCTGCACGTCATGTTGGACAATTTGACTGATGAAGATGGAGCAACACAGAGAGCGAGTCGGTTGCATTGCCGCTCAAGTGAAACAATTTTACGACAACCAGCAAACTTTCAGAATATATCGCGGAGGCGCTACAAATAGCACTCGGAATCACGCTCTTCGAGGGAAAGATGTGGTCGATACAAGCGAGCTCCATCATGTTCTCAGAGTGGATGCCGAAAAAAGGACCATCCTCGTTGAAACGAACGTACCGATGGATCGTCTAGTCGAAGCTTCCCTTGAGCACAACCTTGTCCCTCCTGTAGTAATGGAATTTCCTGGAATTACTGCTGGAGGTGGCTACTCTGGGACAAGTGGCGAATCTAGCAGCTTCAAGTACGGCTTCTTCGATCGAACCATTTGTCGGACTGAGATGGTGCTCGCAACTGGAGAGATCGTGTTCTGCTCTGAGACTGAAAACGCCGACCTCTTCCGTGGCGCAGCAGGTGCTATGGGCACCTTGGGAGTCGTCACTAGCGTTGAAGTGCGACTCGTTCAGGCCACCAAGTTCGTGGAGCTCACCTACCATCCAGTGCGCAGTTTCAGAGAAGCTGTTGAAAGGACGAAAGGGTTCACAGTATTGCCGGATCCTGATCAGCCAGATTATGTGGACGGCATTATGTATTCTAAGAACTGTGGGACGATCATGACAGGCCGGCGTACGGACGAGCAGAAAGCCGGACTCAGTATTGCGAGATTCAGCGCGCCTTCAGATCCATGGTTCTCAATTCACGCACAGGAGCATCTCAAGAGAAGTCCCGCCGCAGTGACAGAGCTCCTACCTCTTGCAGACTATCTGTTTCGATACGATCGCGGCTGCTTTTGGATTGGCCACACTGTCTTCGATTTCTGCTGGTGGCTACCAGACACTGGCACAACAAGAAAGATACTTGACAAGTTCCTCCATACGCGAATGCTCTACGTAATGGGACGAAGTCAGCCCGTAAATCTGCAAATCATACACGACATTGCAGTCCCTATGAGCGTTTCCGAGGACTTCATGGACTGGGTCACCACCACGACAGAAATCTGGCCGCTTTGGCTTTGCCCTCTAAAGCCAAGCCCACAGCCAACTATACACCCTCGGGCCAAAAGCGAGCCAGGTGAATTGATTCTCAACATTGGCCTCTGGGGTCCTCCCAAGAAGCTCAATGTCGAATGCTACTTGGAAGAAAACAAAGAAATCGAAGACAAGCTGCGCGAAATCGGTGGCATCAAATGGGGTTATTCGCCGAACTTCTGCTCTGTCGATGAGTTCTGGTTGGATTTCGATCGGAAGTGGTATGAAGAATTGCGAGGGAAATTTTGCGCGACTTCATTACCTACCATCTGTGATAAAGCGAGGACAGAGCCGGATGCTGTGCGGAAGAGATGGGATGACTTGACCCTCAAAGAATGTCTTCCCTTTCTTATTCCCGGACCCACGCTATGGGTTATGTGGAAGTCTTGGAAGAGTCGCGAGTGGAAGTGGAAACAGGAATCGACGTGGATGAATTGGGTTCCTAGGAAATAGCAGATTTTTTTTCTGTGCGTCTCGAGTCCTGGACGCGATCAGTACGACAAGAATCTGTTGTGAGTTCAGCCGGTTTACATCAGTGTTCGTGCAGACTCTAAGCCAGAAGCAGACGAAAATCCGAGCTGCAATATCTTCGCCCTTGGGGTCTTCGGAGTTCTTAGCTTTGCGAGGGTAGCTTCAGAAATCGTTCCATGTTTATCCAAAACTGAACCGTCCCTCTTTAGAAGACATAATGAAGCTCCCAGGGAGCCAGAACTAGTTCTAGTGGAGGAGTATCCAATCGGTAATTGCCACAGACACTTGACAAAGTGTCGGTGCCCTTGCTTGGAGTCTTAGCCGCAACGTCTGGAGGATGCATTTGGAGCGTGACAGGATCCAGATAGGTATGGGAAGCGTGCAATACTACTGTTCAGCATTGACCAAGACGATAGTAAGTCGTGCTGTCGGCGTCGCGTCGGTCCGGCTGTGCACATGAAAGCGACGCTGAGGTGAGGGTATGGTATCCAGGACGTTGCAAGGGAATGTAGACTGTATCCGCGAGGTCATGGTCCAGATCTAGGGGGCTTCTGATTGGACGGTGAAGCTTGTTGTCGTGTGGCATGGACACCAGGACATGTCGTTCAACGGTGCACTTCTCACTTTCCGTGCAATCCAACCCAACCTTGCCGTCCCTACCTCCCTCCACGCCCAACACCACCGCCGCCTTCGACATCCGTCTCCGTTCCGTGCACGCCACTGTTACTGTCATCACATCCTAGACGCCGACGGGGCCTGGCATTTCCATCGCATGTTGCACGTCAGCGTTGGGCGATATCGACAAGCCTCGCCCCACATCTGCTTCCCTGTGCCTCGCGTCGATCCAAGCGCGTCTCTCAGTGCCAGCACATCCTCCATAGGCCGATACCACGTATTCGCCCAATAGATGGCACCTCAGAGGAACCCGTTGACGCGTATCTCATCCTCTGCCTCCTCCGTCGTCTCCAACATCGAGGTCGTTGCCGCCGCCATGGATGCGGACAGCTCCTCAGAGCAGGCTACAGCTTCCACTCCTCCCACCAGCGTGTCCGACACGCATAGTACGCGCTCGAACAAGCCGGGGGACGAAGTTACGACATCGCAAAAGCAATCACCAGCCAGACGCTCCAAGCGTGCTCGGGCGTCGGTCAACTACAATGTGCTCGAGCAGTTCAACACGATGCAGGTCGAGTCTTCCAGAGGCACGCGTAACGCCTCAGGCCTGTCAGGTCGCACGCTGGTCAACCGCAGCGAAATTGACGAGGATGACGAAGACGAAGACGAGGAGGAAATGCTGAATGGCTCCCCACAGGCCAAGGCCCAGTCTCCAGGCAAGCTGCAGCGACGACCGAGCATGAAGGAACGCGTCAAGAAGATGGCAAGCAGTGCCAAGTCAGTCCTGGGCAAGAGAACGCGCGACGCTGTTGATGCAGGCAGGCGGAAGCTCGGTAGAATCGAGCAATCTCAGAGCCCACAACAGAAGAAGCTTCTGAAGGAGCTCGATATGGGTACGGGCAACATCTGGGACGAAATGGACCTCGACGCAGATGTCCCTCTTCCACCTGTCAAGCGAGCCAAGATCTCCAAGGCTCCTCTTCAAGAGATTGCTCAACCAGCAGTCGCCGGGCCCATGCAAAAGACCTCCACAGGAAAAAAAGTCAAGAAGTGGCAGCCTCATGGTCTATATGCAGGTCAAGCACTCGATTTCGATCCGAACAAGCCAGCTTCAAAGAAGCTGCAGAAGAAGAGGCCAGATTCTTCTGGATCCGGAGCACCTGTGAACGACGAGAATGCGAAGCCGAAGTATAAGTCTATTCTTGGTTTCCACCTGCCAATGTACGGCTACCTGGATGAAGAGAAGACCCGCTCCTTTCGCATTCCTTATGATGTCTACGCTCCGTATGGTAAGAACAGCGAGAAGCCGAAAGACTGGCATAAGATCAACAAGAATCGACTGGTTGGAGACGCCAAGGAGCTCTGGGCAAAGACGGAGAAGATGGCCTCGTCATTGTGCGTTTGTGCACAGCCTCTTGCTGGCGACGATGAGATCGGTTGCGGCGACGGCTGCCTCAACCGTATCATGCAGTATGAGTGCGATGACACCAATTGCCCACTCCCGGCGGAACTGTGCAGCAATCGGCCCTTCGCTGAGATCACTGCTCGCACCAAGAAAGGCGGCGCCTACGATATTGGAGTTGAGGTTGTCAAGACTGAAAAACGTGGTCATGGCATTCGTGCTGCTCGATCCTTCCGGCCGCAACAAGTCATAATGGAATATACTGGCGAGATCATTACAGAAGAAGAATGCCAGCGCCGCATGCGCGAGGTCTACAAGGATAAATCATGCTACTATTTGATGGAATTGGAACGCAATCTGGTGATTGATGGAACGAAGGGTAGTATGGCTCGCTTCATCAACCACTCTTGCGAGCCGAACTGTGAGGTAAGAATGATGAAAGTCAATGGCACACCACGTATGGCGATATTTGCTGGCGACTCTGGGATCATGACTGGTGAAGAACTTACGTACGATTACAACTTCGACAATTTCGGCGAGACTCGACAACCATGCTATTGTGGTGCGGCCAACTGTAGAGGATATCTTGGCAAGCGTCTCAATGCAGATCAGATCAAGAAATTGCAGAAGGAAGAAGCCGAGAAGCAGCGCATCGCAGCTGAAGAGGCTGCAAAGGCTGCCAAGAAGGCACAAGCAGAGAACGCGAAGAAGGACAGCAGAGGCCCTGGATGGCAGGGCTGGGTCGCGGTCGATGACCCGAAAGTCAAGGAGCAGCTCCGCGAAGCAAAGCGCCAAAAAGAAGAAGCAGAGAAGAACTCAGCACGGGCTCAGCGTTTGGCAAATCGTGGCACGGGCACTGGCACGCGCGGGTCGCTTTCTGGGTCATCAAAGCCAGAGCCAAGCAAGGTCGAGAAGAAGAAAGCGTCTCCAAAACGCCGCCGCACAGTTGCCAATGTCGAAGAGCTTGCTCGCACAGCAACAGCTCCTGCTGAGGCTATCGAGGATGAGAGCGACGAAGACGTCAAGATCGCATTTGCAAAGGCTGCGTCTTCCAGGCCCACCAGCTCTAGACGACCTATCCACCATCGCACTACCTCGACTGGCTCCAAATTTACTGAAGACCTGGAGATGGAGGCCCGACCGGCCTCGCGCTCCTCCGCTCGTACCGGAATCATCAAGAAGACTACCGTGTCGCTGGAAATCCAGCGCGACACCATCGTGGAAGGCGTGAGGACTGGAGAAGTAGTTGTAAAAGAAGAAGACATTGCTGCAGGTCGCAAGTCCTTTGCTGACGAGCTCAGTAATTCTGGGGGAGCTAGCCTGAGCAAAGTCGGCAGCAAAGCTGCTCTTGCCGGCGAGGCAAGCCAGGGAGATAGAGCACCGCCTGCGAAAAAGCAGAAAGCCGAGGCAGGCGGAAGCATTCGGTCGAAGGTCGCAGCCGCGGTTAAGAGCACCGGCAAGACATTTCGCCAGAGTACGCTGAGCTTCCCCAAACTGGGATAATCATTTTGTAGAGGAGCGTGGCGCTTGGTGTTGGCGCAGAGGATTGAGCATTTCGGATTTGGAAGCGTATGCGCTGCATAGAGCGAGGTTCTCGAGTCTTGATAAATATTTTTGTGAGGTCGTAGAATCTACTACGTATGCATGACAGTTCACACTAGGCCCTTGCCCGGTTACGAATCACAGTCGCTTCACGCGATATGCAATTGCTCCGGTCGTAAACTCGAACTCAGCGGAAGTCGAGAATGCCAAGAGATTTGGAGTGGTCACCGGGTGAGCTTCGAGGGCTTGTTGCGAATTCACTTTGGGGGAAGGGATAATTTCTGGATCTGACTTGCTATGCAATGTGTTTACAATGCGTTCGACTGACTAGACTCCATAGGAAGCAACGACGAACGCTTATAGACTAAAGAGTCTCGAGAATTCCGAATCGTCAGACAAAGCTTACCCGACGACACATCGACCTTCTACGCCACCTCAATCGCCTTTAACATATTCTGCCTCGTCAACTTCGAATACGTCGTGTTGGGCGCGTAGAGCATAAACGCATGTGGCTGTCCCGGGTAAACATGAAACTCCGTCGAAACATTCGCTTCGATGAGTCTCGAAGCGAACTTGACGTTCTCATGGATGAAAATGTCTAATTCTCCACAGTCGATGAATGTTGGCGGGAGCCCTGCCAGATTCTTGGCTCGTGCTGGGGCAGCATATTCATGGCCGGGCTGTGGATTCGGTGTGCCGGCTTGATCGCCTAAGAGCGCGGACCAGCCTGTGATGTTGTCGTCGTAGGTCCATGTTGCGAAAGGGAGGAGGGCTGGTAAAGGTTTCGTGGTTCGATCGTCAAGCATTGGGAAAATTAGGATTTGCTTGAGGATTGGGGGCGAGAGGTTTTGGTCTCGAGCCATTAACGAGAGTCCGGCTTTTCTAGAATCTCAGCAAGCAAATTCATTCCTTCATTCCCACTTGCTTCGAAAGAAACGAACTTACCAGCCAACCCTCCACCTGCAGACTCCCCCATGACCACAATTTTCGCCGGATCAACTCCAAGCTTGGCAGCATTTCTACTCAACCATTGAAGCCCACTCCAACAATCCGTGACCGGTATAGGATGCGGATACTCCGGAGCAAGTCGATATCCCACCGCAAAAACCGGAATCCCACTCTGCTCACACTGGCTCGCGATGGATTTCTCAAACGCATCTACACTTCCAAGAATCATGCCGCCGCCGTGGATGTAGAATATCGCTTTTCCTGGTTTCGTGGGAGCAGCTCCTGCTTCTTTTCGGAACTCGGCTACTGTTATGCTGTGACCGTCGTGGGTTGGAATCGCGTGGTTTGTTCGAGTCACTCCGGCTACGTCTGGGGTTTGCCTGAGGATTGAGGCGAGGGATTTGTTTCCTAATTCTCGGCGTGAGAGGGCATCTCCGGGGGGGAATTTTGGTCTTGCTGCTAGTATTTCTGCGAGGGGTTCGAGAGCTGCTGCGTATTCTGGGTCGTAGGCTAATGGCATTGTTGCTTGTTGTTGTTGTTGTTTTCTTTGGTTTGTTTGTTAGAGTACTGAATTGATGTTGTGGAGATAGATATGGAGAAGTGAGGTATCTTCTAATGTTGACTTTCACTTTCATGGACTATGTAGGTGAGATCGAATGGTGCATGCATTGGTAAGTAGCTCTGGATATGGAACCAATGATCGACGAAAACGAGGGGTTCCACAATACACGGCAGTGAGAAATATTACAGTACCTTTTGGAAAGCCGAGGATAGGACTTCATGAGTGATTGGTTAGTGCGGATATGTCAGCAAGAGAGACGCACAGACGCACTTTAATCAGGCGTCTGAGAATGAGGAGGCAGGAGTGGTCGTGATTTATCCCGTGAGAGCTGCCCGATTTTGTCATTTGAGGCAACTGCCAAGGATTTCCAACTTCAAGGGAAGGAAGGGCTGCATGCTCCTTTATCGACATGATGAATGGAAGCATCAAGCAATGAAAGACATGCAGAATCAGCGCTGCAATCACGAAGATGCAAAAAGTTCCCAATACACCCACCGTATGCGTGTGAAAGTTTTCCGGCACATCGCATCTTCTAACCATCCCAGTTGCTCTATGCTTTATAATCTTGGCGCGCATCTCCATCTCCATCCCTCATCTCTCTCACCCAATTTTCTTATCCCAATCACGAGAATTCCAGACTGGCGAGACTCGGTTAGCAAGAACCTCTATACATACTACGTGTAGTGGGGGAATTTGTGTGGGAGAGTAGCTTTCAGAATCTGAGCGCATTTTTGATTACCGATGTGGTCGCCATCTGGGCGCTTGATCTCGTTCGTGGCCTATGTCAAGTTCAAAGTGAGAAGGTAGACGTTTCTTCGGATGCCACGCGAGCACTGGATTTGGGTTGCTGCGGCTGCGGCTTGGCTGCTGATTGCTGGGTAGGGAGTGTTGTTTGAGTAGACTGGTGCTGCTTGGCGAAAGACTCTTGAGAAGTCAAGGGTGTTCCTTTAGCGAAATGAGTCTGCTCTACGTGTGAAGTGGAACGGTTTTGCTCTTTAGACGTTGTTAGATCGATGAAGACTGGTTGATCCGGGCTCCGATGTGGCTATCAGATCGGAGCGGAGTAGCGGACCGAGCAGAATCGGTCGCTCCAGCGAAGAAAGGGTTAGCCGACGCTTCAGGCATTCGAGTCTTGTCGCCGTAATTTTCGCAGGTGGCCTCGGTCATGCCAACATCTTCCTGCTCTCCAGTAGATTGCCATGCTCCACTGTCGAAGTCCGCGGCAGGTCCGTACATCTCCTTCATGAGATTATCGAGGTATGCTTCCTCATCAGGACGAAGTAGGCCGTCAAAGATACCTTCAGTCGATGGCGTTTCGCGAGACATTGCGCTGTTCGGAGTTGGCGCTTTTTGGCCTCAATTGCGAAAGGTGGAGTCGAGGTGGTCACTGTTGGTGCAGTCGCATTAGAACTTTCGTGCTACGGGTCTTAGTGTAAGGGACCTTCAAGTTTTGTGATTCCGTAGGTTGGAAGTCGCGTCGTTAAAAATAAGTGTGGATGTTGAAAAGGCAGAAGCATTCACTTGCCAATCTTCACATGTACCTAGCATGGCTCCTTCCAACGGAGACATCGTGAATGGCACCATTTTGAACAAAGCATTGATGTCAAAATCGGGCTTTTTCGAAGTCTCATCAGGCGACCATGAGAAGACAGGAGACGGGGGTCCAGAGGCCATGCTCTGCCTACTGCTGCTGCACGGAGGATGTCGAAAGTTCATCCGGCAAGTAGTGTAGTGTAGCAGGAACGAAAGCGGATCATAGCCTATGTCCTTTCGAATGAACAGCCTTTGCGTATAGAAGGACGTTGGCGGAGCGTAGTCTAGTGCATGATTGGTATTCAATGGCCATTTGTTCAGATAAGAATTGCTGACGCGCTATGTCCAGACTGTAGCAATTCATGGTAGCATGGCAAGTTGATTGCTGTTCCTTTGCACGAAAATAGTGCTTACGGTCAGACCACGTCTGCCGGATGATACCGAAGCATCGGTATAGACTTCGAATCGCGAAGCCCTGTACAGCAGCAGACAGGAGTGACGTGTCATCAAGTAATTTTCCGCCGCGCATCTGGCGCAATCCTTCCAAGCTGGAGTCTCAAAGTGAGTATCAAGCCTATCATACAAAGCAATTGCCGCTCGAAGACGCAAGTCATTCAAGACGCGACGTCCACGATAAGCATTCGTTCTCACGGAGCTGGGGCGGGCGGTCCGCTGCTTGTGGCGGGGCGACCAGGAGTTGGTGGCATGAACAAAGGCATATATCCCTGCAAAGCAAATCAACACGATTGAACCTTCAAGCTTCTGCCGTTCAGGAGATGGAACGTACAACGCCCAAAGACAGAAGTGCCATCAAAACCTGGAAATAAGCGGGCGAGGACGAGGCAGCTTTCTGTGCTGGGGTCTCGGCCAGCCAGGTCTGTAGGGCGAATAGCACGGAGGTCCATCCAAGCAATCTGTCAACAAAGGTCTTTGTCAGAGTGTGCTGATGTCGAGACGAAGCATGTGGCATACTTGTTTCTTGTGAACATCTGCAGCAGTGGATCAGCGGAGGTATGCGAGCGAGCGTCAGGTGTGCGAGGCTGTACTCACGGCCGCCATGGGCAGGGTGCTGCTCATTGTGCCTGGATTCATGCATCAGACGGGTTCGGATTATCAGACCGATATGATCTGTGGCGGCGGCTCACTCTGGAAATCATTGCTGTCCTTGTTCTCGGGCTCACTGTAAGGGACGACTGTGTGGCAGCGTGTCAGCCGAGAGTGCACTTCATTCCGCACATGACCGCTGAATCTCATGATCCTGCGCACATACTGAGCTGCTGTCGCCGCATGTCCCGCTTGGCCGCCATTGTGCAGATGCGCGTTCGGGTGCGGATGCTTGGGTGTGAGAGAGATGGCAATGTGTGGCAAGTTTCGTCACGAGATGCGGCAGTTCAGTATGGCGTGTGTATGATGGGTGGCAGGGTGTGTGCTGACGGACGGAGCGCTGATGTGGAGAGAGGTCCGCGGGCGTGGTGGTCTTGGCGTCGTGAAGTCTCTCTCAACCAGCGGGAAGGAGCGACGAAACGAAGCTCAGGAAGGTGGGAATGCTTCTCAGGAAGGTGGGAATTCTTCTCAGGAAGGTGGGAAACTCGGACATTATTATTCTACCTCCGCGCGGATGATGATTAACATGTCTGCCTTAAATGAGGTGCTGGGTGGTGGTGAAGGCTGCTCCGCCTCATCGGTCGGTCATTGCATAGTTCTTTCGGGGCACGGCTTTGGGTTGACCAGCGGCCAGTCAACTCGCGCTTCCGTCCCTTTGTTGCCCAGGGTGTGATGTGACCGCCGGCTTGACCCTCGGGGCCGCGACCGCTGCACTACATCCCATCCCGTACCTGGCCTTCTGTCCCATTCCTACGCCTGCGCCCACGCCCACGCCTCTCTCTACACACATCTTGCCCTGCCCTACCAAATTATACTACTACTATTCGACCATGCACCACCCTACCACCTGCTAATCGACGTCTCGCCCGCGAGATGATGCTCCGCCGAAACGAGCCTTGTCCCGTGCGATGGATAATCGACCTCCGCTGGGCCTACAGAGACCACTGCCTCCCCAGCGTGCCCTGAGCGGCTCCTATGCCATCCAACATGGCCTCAAGAGACCCACTCAACCCTCACGACTCAACAATGTCCGCTCCGTGTCGCACCCCGTCAATGTAGTCGACCTGACCCCCGACCGAGCGAGAGTCGATGCGAAGAACGCAGCTGCCTTCCTAAACAATGCGGATAACCTCTACACCTCGCCACGTGTAATTCATCTCGACGATGACGACGACGCCCCCGACAGTGACCGCCCTACGAAAAGAGCCAAGACAACCGGGCGTGACTTTCGCGCAGGAGGGAAGATACCCGAGGCCCAGCGCGATGCTGCCCATCAAGCACTACCAGGCTCGCCTCTACCTAGTCTACCACCGCGCAAGAATGTCATGGCAAGTCGAACCACTGCTCAGAGGAGCAGGCGGGCTGTGGTGGACAGGGCTGCGCGACGCGCAAATGGACTGGAGCCTCCATCCATCGCAACACGCCTACCTCCACCGAAGCTGGTGGCAGACTTTCATCCTTGGAATGGTCATCATGCTGAAGACATCTTGACCGAGACAGTCGTGAAAGGCGGCTACTTCGACAAGGCGCCTGGGCCCAATTCTGCCGAAACGAGCTCCGCGAAACCAACAATATGGAGCAACCTCAGTGCGAAGAACAACATGGGCCTGCAGACCCTCTCATACCTCTTCACATCAGTCATGGAAAAGAGACAAGCAATTGGAAGGGTTACGGCGCCATCGACATTCAAGCCGCCTCCTCGTGTCACAGTCACAGATACAAAGCGTGAGGCATGGCTGCGAGATCTTGCGAATCCTGATGTTCCACTACGAAAGCAGAGCAGAACCATCCCTCACGGCGTTCGCGGCAAGTCGCTCATGGAACAGTGTCTTGGCAAGGACATACCAATGCCTCGTGCAGTCTGGCTCGCCAAGTGTGTTGGCGCCAACGAATTACGAGCTTTCCGTCGAAAAGGTGTCAGTGGAGCTGCCGCTGCAACTGGCGAGGCGAAGTGGGTACGCGAGTGGACAGTCAGTGTCGAGCAATTCTTGGAAGGCGTCATTGCATGCTGTGGACAGCCAGCATGGCAATTGAAGATGGACTATGCCGTCAAGCTGGCAACCAGCTTTTATTCGGAAAGACTTTTGGAAAGAGATCATTACCTGCACTGGATAGTCACCTCGTTCGCACAAGCACCCCTGGAAAGACTACCCATTTGGATCATTCTTGCTCAGCTATACTGGAAAGACATTACCGCCTTTGGACGACGTGGAAGACATTTGGCAGAGGCGGCTTTGGAGAACCTACACACCATATCACAGCGTCACCTTCTCGTTAATGACACTTTGAAAGCTCGACTTCAGAAGCTGGTCATGATGCTGGCAGTCACCAATAGAGGCTGCCTGATTCTGCCCAAAACCTGGCAGAAGTATGCGTACCTACTGGCACCAAGAACCGCAACGCAAAACACACCCGCTCACAATATCCTGCGAAGAAACGCTCGTCTGATAGCACCACTTTTGAAGACACCACAGAATACACGCTGCGCCCTGCTTCGACTCTACTCGATGCTGGATAGTGTGGCATTGTGCTTGGATGTGCCGAAGCTATCTGCCGCCTGTGTGGCTGCTATACGTGACAACAACAAGCTGGTGACGGCGCTCTTGAACTGGTCCGCTTCAGTATTCAGACCTGGACTTGGTCGCATCTACCTCGCCGCCCAGCTCATCTCGCAACTTCGCAAAGACGGGCAAGATACCGACAGTGCCGTGCTCGGCTATCTCGGGTCAAACCCTGCTGCTTCTGTTGCCCCGGAACACGTGCACAGAGTTCTTGTCGAGCTAGTCCGGAGAGATGCATTCTCGGCGGGTCGCTACATGCAATGGCTGATTTCAAGCGGCATGCTCTCTGCTGGCTATGCATCTTCGATGGCAACGGCATTATTGCCAATGCTACCCACCAGTGCTCTTTCTCCTCACCTGCTGAACACGCGACGGACCCTCATGAATCGTCTCAAAATGAGCTCAATTGGGGATGAGGCTTTGCCTGATGTCGAAGCTGCCGTATTGTCAGCGGCGGAGAGTTTCGATGCTGGCACACAAGACATCATGTCGATGCTACAACAACTCTCTTCATTCGCGAAGCTGGAGCTTGCAGAACGGATTGCGTCCAAAATTGTGGTTTGGGCGAAGGATGGTGGTATGTCGCTGTCATACTTCTGCTTTCTGCGGGAGGCGATGGAGACGACTGGCGACCTGCAAGCTCTAGCAACGATTTTGGAGGCATCGATTTACACAGACGACACTGCCTTGCTTGCGACTATTTGCGATACCACCAGCATGTATGGCAAAGCCTTTGCAGCGATCGGATGCCTCCAGTCTATGGTTGACCGGGTTTCGGAGCGGTACCGCATCTTACGTGCTCAACAAGCTCTCGATAGGTCGTTCATCTTGGCTCTCACTGCTCTAATGAGTCGCTTACCCGAGAAAACTCAATTCATCAAATACTTGGACAGCGATCTGGCCATCTGCGATCAACAGACCTCCTTGGCAGTATGTTCACCGGCATCCGACAATCTCATTAGCATGCAGGCTTCATCCCTTGATTCCGATGGCGACATCGACTCAGTCTTCGCCAGCGGGAACACGATGGACGAGCATCTCATGCAGCGTGTCTTCTCAAGGATCGTGCAACGTGCCAGCAAGCCTGGTGCTCAGATCAATCACTGTTCTACCAAAATCTGTAGCTGGCTGAATCAGCTTCGTGCTGTAGACGCAAACAATTTCGACAGCATGGCTAGGAGCTACACCGTTGCGGCTCTCAAGAACACCGGAGAGAACACCTCCATGCTCACCGTAGTCTGCGCTCTCGTGGCTAGCGGTTGCTTGCGATTCGACTCCATCGTCGACGTTGCAAAGGAGACTAAGTCGTCAGCTGCGGCTTCCTCGGCTCTTCGCCTGCTGTGTTCGACAACTATCATCAATACCGGGTTACACTCGGTCGAGGCATACCGATATCGAGTGCAGCAGAAGCGATTTCGTCTTAGTTCTGCGGAGAAAGTCATTCCTCTTGTGGTCTTGGCAATCGAGGATCCAAGAGTAGCCATTGATGATGAGGGATTCCAGAACATGGTGATGGAGTATGCCGTGTACAACTATGCGGATTGCATCCAAGCCTTGCGCGATGCATCCACTTCATCCGCATTCCTTGCGAATTGCGGTCGTATGGTGACCAAAATGCTCAATCTTGGACGCAGCAGCAGCCAGGCAATCAGCTTGGATGTGAAGTCGATTGTAGCTCTTGCTGACCCGTTATCAGTCGTACAGTGCACCGGTGCGCTGGCGTTCCTCGCCAAGGCAGGAGTCGACAACGATACCGAGCTATTGCCTGCTGTGCTCGAAGCCATAGCCAACGGGTGCGAGGTGTGGCCCCAGCTCTTGGAAGGCGCCAGCCAGCAGACTATTGCGGGCATCTACAAATGGGCGAGAGAAGAAGTGCTCAACAACGCCTCAAAACAAGATGGAGTCGAATCGATGAGCAGAGAAGAGTTCAGTCGCGTCCTTGACATCCTCGATGTTGCACATCATGCAGCAAAAGGCGAAGACAGCAGCTCCATTATTGCTTCCGTCACTGAGAAGCTGAAGGGCTTGGAGTCACGATTGACTGGATTTGCCGAAGCTGTTGTCGAAGAGCGCCAACGAGTGATGTTCACACTACATGTACTGATGCACCTCACCGTCCTGTACTCTTCGAGCGGCATATTGGACGACGCCGGAAAGCAGGGCCGTTGCAATCTTCTTGCAGCAGTTTGCATGATTCTGGTACATCCGGGCCTGCAGAGCCATCAGGAGATACTGGAATACATACACGACGCTGCCTCGACACTTGCAGATACGTTGCCGGCAGAGGTCCTGGTGAGCCTGGGACAAAGTTTACTGCGCAACGGCAAAAACGACCCGAGACTAGCATGGATTTTAGGTACAACTTCACCGCCCGACGCATGGCTTGCATTGGTCTCTCAGCCGCTGCCTCAAGGGTCTTCGCAAGCACGAGCTTTGATCAAGCAGGCTGCCAATCAGCAACAGATGGCGGGGCGGGGGAACCTGCCCTCGCCGGTACAACAGCCCAGCAGCCTGCAGAAGGCAGCTGTAAGATCGGATGGTCGATCTCTTGCAGAGATGAAGACCATGCCATTTCCACTTCGAAGATGGGAAATTATGTCCGACGCAACACCAATGGTGGGCGACAACGACACAAGTTTGAGTTTGAGTCTTTTCGGCGCAAGAAAGGTGTAACATGGGACAGGATACCATTTATGAGGCATGATGATTCGGGTCTGGGACATTTGCATACGTGCGTATGGGTAACGTGAACGAAGGAATGGGAGAATCATCGGAGTTCTTCGTGTTCGGGTGCTGCGTTCAAGCGGCTTGAAATTGTTTCCTGGTCATGGCGATCGTGAGCTTTCTGGCGCCAAGTATCATGTCATTTGAGGACGATGGGACACATGTGCCGTCCCGGGTAGAGAAGAGATTTATGTTTTTCAAGATCTGTAAGATAAGTGGACAATGAACAGACATGTGCATGACAGCCGCCTGGCCTTTGCTTTATCACCTGCAATGATGAAGTCGGGACGGCATTACCTTCGCACCTGGCTCAAGTACGCGGGCGCCGCTGCTTCTTGCGAGTTGCCTCTTGCCTTACGGAGCCCTGACTTCCGTGGCCATGATCGTTGTTCGAAGATCCTTCTCATCTGCATTGTCGTCGCAATATTGATAACGGCATTTTTCCACGAAGCACGTGACAAACCATGGATGCTACCAGCGAAGATGCATCGGTCCCTCGACATGATTCTGGAATCGCTGAGCGACCAATCGTCAATCTCCCGAAAGCAGGGAATTTTCAAGCGCGGACAAACGCTCGTTCGGATCCAAATCAGCAGACGGAGCAAGAGCGGCTACAGGCTTGGCGTAAATCTATGAAGGCCCAAACCTGCAAGGAATGGCGATACGGCCATCGATGCCACCGGCCAAACGCCAGACGTTGTCGTTACGCCCATCACCTCTTCCCTGCCATCGAATGGCGTGCATTCGACAAGGCCGACATTCTAGAGCGGTGTGCTCGGGGTACGGAATGTCGCAATCATTCACTGGACTGTCGCCACAATCATGCGCCTACAGGATCGGCTGGAGACCGGTACAGGATGCGTTTGAGGGAATATGTCAGAAGTCTTCCTTATACCGCTATTACTTGCGTTCTGTGCAACGCGTGTGGGAAGATGGATTTTGATATTGAGGATATGCTGGATCATCTTGAAACAGAGCACCCCGAGAGTTATGGGCGCTATAATCACTATAGTGATTTGTGTCCGCCTCCTCGTCTACCGGAAGATGGTCCGGATGAGCGAGTCGATCCAACTCAGGCATACCACAGCGCTGTGGATCCGCTTGGCTCTCCCGTCGCTCAATCTGGTCCTTCTTATGAAGACGGTGCACCGGATCAGACAAGTCTTATTACCACTGCGCCTGTAACGACCTCGAACGAGGATAAGTGGTCCAAATTCCCAAGCCGATCTGGATCCGAGCACGGAGACCGTTAGCAGCCTGAGTCTCCGGAGGGAGGAGATCAACGACATGGGCCAAACAAGAAGAAAGTCAGACGTAGTCAGCGAGCACGGCGAAAGCAAAAGGAGAGGGAAGCCGCTCAAGCTGCCCGAGAAAGGAGCAGAAAATGGCACAGATACGTCTTCAGAACTCTCCACCACTGGCGCAGTGGTTCGGCTTCGGCTTGGGGGGAACTCGCATGATAAATATGGGCGGGAATCATCCTGTTCACTCGCATCTGGGCATGAAGATGAACCACCTTCTGTGCTTCGATCGGGGTGCCCACGATTGGCCAGACTAACCCATTTCAAGGAGAAGTCGATAGCGGCCAACATTCTTTAGTACTGGGAGGCGATGTGCTAGAAGACTGTCTTGATTGTGCATGAGGAAAAACCTGGGGATGTCTGTCTAGATATCGCACATTATTCTTCGTGCTTCTATCGCTGTATCAAAGGCGTACATGTATAGTCGAGTTTTGAAATGGAGGGAGCGTCGATGTGATTCTTTTTTTAGCATCATCGACGTAACTTCGGTGAAGAGACTGTGAATGAGATCATATGTATTTGCGTAGCCAAGACATGCGTCGCGATCTCACGACTCTCGGCTGAGGTTCACGAGGCGGTAGAATAGAGGTGTTCTGCAGCCACTTTGCAAAGCGCTCTCTCAACCGAATACGGCCGCCAAGGTGACGATTATAGTTAGCAAGCAGGCTCTATATACCCCTATCTTGTTGAAGGCGCTCTACACGTAGAGCGCCTGTCTCAAGGCTTAATAGGTTATCGTCGGTGCTATATAGGGTATAGTGCTATTGCCTTAGGTTAAGTAAGTAACTTTATAAGACTCTTATAGAATAAGAGTCTTGCTTGTCGAGTCTACTTTTGCTACGGCTATATAACAGTTAATAGTCTATATAGTAGTTTAAATAGAGCCTATAACGGTCAGTTTCCGAGTAAGTAAGAAGTCGTTACCGTAGAAGCTATAGAGGGCTCTTTCTAGCTTAATTCTTTACCTACTCCGGCTCTAACTAAGCGCGAGTTTAGCTAGAGTCCTTTATAAACACCTAGCTTCTTCTAGCAGTTAATTAAGCGTACTATAACACCTAAACCTATTCGAATAGCAATAGCTAACTTCTATAGCAATACAGCTCCGCCGGTACCCCCGAGAGCTCCGCGATTAAGTTAAAGTGCGAGGTAGGCTCGTTAGTAGAGCTAGTTGCGAGAGAGCGTTATAGCGGCTAATCTTAAAGACGACGATACGCTAATAACTAATATTAGACGGAAGGGTTATATAGAAGCGTAGAAGCTCTGCCTTATAAGATATATAGTTACTAAAGAAGATTAGTATAGTAAGCCTTACTTCTAGGCGAAGGTCGGCAATGCCTAGATAATAGAGACTCGCAAGAAGTATAGCAACCTATAAAGGGTATTCGATCGCATACTAAAGGACTACGCTTAATATAAGCACGACAACTAGATATATTCTAGCGGCGAGAATAAGGACGACTACTTCTAAGTAATAGAAGAAGCCGAGCGAGTTATTAATAAGCATACCGCTACTAAGAAGCAAGCCGCTATCGACGTAGAAGCGGCTATTAAAGAGCGTATAGAGACCGAGCGTAGACGGAAGAACTTAATATAGCGTAGAGCTAATAAACGTAGGGTGTCTATATCTACTAGTAGTAACAGTAATAACACTAGCGGTACTAAAGACTATAAGAAGTCCGTAGACGATATAACGGACAATAAGGACACTACTACTACCGAGAGGGTTGCTATTAAGCATGCTAGAAGGCCGTTAGCAACTCCTACGGCGGAAACGGCTTCTCCGGCTCCCTCTATAACGTCCTCTACTATTGCTAGTAAAATAGCTAATTTTACTAAGAAACAAGGGAAGAAGAAAGCGATTAAGGAGAAGAAGAAGATAATAATAGAGGAGTCTATAGCGCTAATAGCGAGAGGTTATACTAAGAAGCAGAGGCGTAGCCGTAGTAGTAAGGAAGTTGCTAGCTTAAAGTCCGAGTTAGCTAAAGTTAAGGCACAGAATGCGGCTATGCTAGCTACTATTACTAATCTAGGGCATATATTCGCGCAGGCAAGGCTATAGGGTATATCCGTACCTTAGTATATGCCTTAGCAAGTAAATGCGACCTTTAGTAATATAGAAATAGCTAAATTCGCGAGAGATTTAGTAATATAGAAATAGCTAAATTCGCGAGAGAGTTGGCTCCGGAGGGCTTCGAATTTAAGGGATTTAAGCTATAAGCGGGGTAACTCCGTAGTAATATACGGAGCTAGGGTAGACTTTCCTTTCTATAGTTATTATACACTTATTTCTCAATCGATTTGCTCTAAATTTTGATATGTTATAGACCTAATAATAGTAAACAAGCGCATATATAATTATATATAGGTGCTATATATATATAGTAATATAGAGGGGGGGTAAGGGTAATAAGAATTAAGCGTTACTTATTTTAGCGGAGAATATTACGATATAACACTATTATATGTACGATAGTAGGCAGCGGTTACTATCGACCGCTACGGTCGCTATTGCTACTAATAGTAGGACTATTATATAGATAGCTTGCCTCGCGGCACCTTAGAGAAGGTATTAACTTTTGCACTATATAACCGTTACGATACCTTCGTACTATAACCGTATACCTAGCAACTTAGTAGCTTCGCTTAACACTTAGTTAGCTTCTATACTAACTACTAGTCCTCTACCCGAATCGACTCCGGTCGTTACGGCTATAACGAGAATCGACGCGATTAGCTACGGGTCCTACTAATCTTCCGCCGATTACTACGATTTAACTTCTACCCGTTACGACGGTACCTATTCGATTTACTACCCTTCCGTACTATACCCTACCGACGCGCGAGCGCCTTATCGGCGATCCTATTAGTACCCCGAGGAGACAGTAGTAGTAGTTTCTACCTTTAGTAGCAATTACCTACTATACCTAGGTCTAGGGGTAGCCGCTTTCCCTAGGAGGACCTGCCCGATAAGCTACGCTCCTCCGCCTTTAGTCGGTTCTCCGTTATTATCCTCCGTTTAGAGACTATCTCGCCTCTACCCTCTTACTAATAGTTTACCCGCTTGCTATAGCTCCTTCGGACTCGCTTCTAACTCCGGTAGAAGCCTCGAAATTAGCTAAGCTAGCGGTTTAACCGCTGCCCTAGTACTGCAATCTCGGATTGCTAGATATAAAGCCCTATATCCTACGTATCTATTCCTATATTTAGAACTACGTCGATTATAGCGAGAACTTCGCGACCTAGCTTAGGGCAAAGCTACCTCCTTTTAGGCGCTTCGCATTGTATATAGGTCTGTGCTCTCGGTTATCTCGGTTCTAAATTAATACCTAAGGCAAGCTGAGTCTTAGCGAAGCGCCTAAACTTAAAACGTTGAAAACGGACACTACACTCCCGAGAACACAGATTTAGATATTAAATAGTACAACAACTAGAGGTCTGAGCGTGTTATATATATAAAGGGGGTTCTAGAAGGCACGTAAGTGAATGATTTAGGCGTGTTACGTGAAAAAAATATATAGAACTGCGACCTGTAGAAAAATAAGACTGTTTTTACGAAGGGACAGTTATATAAGCTCGCGTTTGTCGTACGAACACCTATATTAGACAATCTACTAATACTCGTATCTGCTATTTAAAACATATAATCCCCTTAAGAAAGACCTGCTCTATTACCTCTAAGTGTTTTTGAATGCGTGTCTTGCGCTTCACTTAGTCTATATGCCTTAGCTTGTAACTAGCCTATATGCCTCTTGTTTCCGCCTATAAAGCCGCGCTCTTGTCTCCTATTACTAGAACCTTCGCAAACACTCTACTAAGTATCGCGTAACACTGCTAGACCTTTATTAAGTCCTAAACACTTTAAACAAGCATTACTAAAGCCTCCGCCTATATTAATCTCCGCCGCTACTAAGAGCGATACTCGAGTGCTGCTATATATCTTCCGATAACACATCTTCCTATACCGCCGACCCTTACAAACACGCTATATTAGTCCGCATAACTATAATAAGCCCGCTATGCCCGGCGAATACTTAAATATATCGAAGCGCTAGTAGAAAGCGGCAAAGGTTGCTACTAGTCGCGGTCGTAGCAGTAGTCGCGGTCGGCTAACTTATCGTAGATTAATTCGCGGCAGCGGCGGCGTTAGTGCTGCTAGCCTATCGCGTTAAGAAGATTAGCTAATATATCAACCTCGAGCGCCTACGGTTTATCGCAGCCCTATTATACGCGAAGAGCTAATATAGACGTGCGATCTATCTCCTATATTACCTACTATCGATGCTTTAGTGTAAGAGTAGGATGCTTACTTTAGCGTCGCCTATACTATAATTAAGAACGAGGATACGCTACTTTAATAGGTTTAGTAGCTAGTTTATAATGCCGGCTAGTATAAGGCCGCCTTAGTATACTATCGCTAGATTATCCGCTACGGTCTTCGCAAGGTCTTAAGACTGCTATATCCTTCGCGCGACTCTAAGCCCTCCGACCTACAGATTATAGTAGTTCTCGCCTTAATCTTCGGTTAATAGGATGTACTTATAATCGCTCGTACTAGCGTAGGCAAGGCATTAGTCTTTTAGGCCTTTACCCTCCTAACTAGTATAATAACTCTCTAGATTGTGCCTCTAACCCGGATTGTAGAAGAATAGGGTGCGGATATAGAGTAGGCTATACGCTAGCTCCGTCTAGAAGAATACGTACTTGTTAGTATATACGTATTAACCGCCGACACACTTAAGAAGGACCTAGATATACTAAAGGATATTAAGAACAGCAAATACAACTACATTATCTGTAGCCCTAAACAAGCTGTAACTCTAGCATTTTAAGATGTCGTGCGTGCGATTAAGCTAATGCTAGGTTTATAGGTATAGGATAAGGCTTATCTTTATCTTAAGTAGAAGGACTTCCGTAATAGCTACGGCACTATTCATTTGCTTCGGCAGCTAATAAGTATTAACACCGTGCTGCTAGCGTATTCCGCTATAGTCTCCGATGAGACTAAGAAGTATCTTATTAATAATAGTCTCCGTATCTAGAGTTTAGCTACGCTGTATACGTAGATTATCTGCGGCAGCATTAATCGTCCGGATAGCAAGTATATCCTTTAAATTCTTAAGCAAACCGAGACCAATAACTTCCGGTATCTGTACTTCGTATTACGCAAGGTAATCGATAATAAGGGCCTCGTAACTCCGCAGAATATTTAGAAGACAATAATCTTTATCGACGGCCGAGGCTCGGTAGATAAGGGTCGTTTATAGCTTATACTGTAGCTTATTTAGCTTACTAATTATATTAAAGAGCCTACCTAGGGCGACCGCAAGTATATATAGGATAGTGCGCCGATAGAAGCTAGAGTACCGTACACGATTAATGTATACGAGATTATCGGCTTCTATACCGCTTATATAGCTAAGATCGATAAGGATAAGCGATATTAGGAGTTTAAGAAGCTAGATTCCCGCATCCGCATTCTTTAGGGTATACTAGCGATAGTAGTTAGCATTAACATCCTAGATATTAAGCTAGTCTGCTAGTGCA